CCAGTGATACATCTCACCACCAGTGATACATCTCAATACAAGTGATACATCAGTGATACATCTCACCATCAGTGATACATCTCAACACCAGTGATACATCTCACCACCAGTGATACATCCCACCACCAGTGATGCGTCTCACCACCAGTGATACATCTCACCACCAGTGATACATCTCAATACAAGTGATACATCAGTGATACATCTCACCATCAGTGATACATCTCACCACCAGTGATACGTCTCAACACCAATGATACATCTCACCACCAGTTAAACACCAGTGATACATCTCACCACCAGTGATACATCTCACCATCAGTGATACATCTCACCATCAGTCATCTCACCATCAGTGATACATCTCACCACCAGTGATACATCTCACCATCAGTTATACATCTTCACCACCAGTGATACATCTCACCACCAGTGATACATCTCAACACCAGTGATACATCTCAACACCAGTGATACATCTCACCACCAGTGATACATCTCACCACCAGTGATACATCAGTGATACATCTCACCATCTCATCACCAGTGATACATCTCACCATCAGTGATACATCTCACCACCAGTGATACATCTCACCATCAGTGATACATCTCAACACCAGTGATACATCTCACCATCAGTGATACATATCATCACCAGTGGTACATCTCACCACCAGTGATACAACTCACCATCAGTGATACAACTCACCAGTGATACATCTCACAACCAGTGATACATCTCACCATCAGTGATACATCCCACCACCAGTGATGCGTCTCACCACCAGTGATACATCTCACCACCAGTGATACATCTCACCATCAGTGATACATCTCACCATCAGTGATACATCTCACCACCAGTGATACATCTCACCATCAGTGATACATCTAAACACCAGTGATACATCTCACCACCAGTGATACATCTCACCATCAGTGATACATCTCACCACCAGTGATACATCTCAACACCAGTGATACATCTCAACACCAGTGATACATCTCACCATCAGTGATGTATCTCAACACCAGTGATACATCTCACATCAGTGATACATCTCACCACCAGTGATACATCTCACCATCTCAACACCAGTGATACATCTCACCATCAGTGATACAACTCACCAGTGATACATCTCACAACCAGTGATACATCTCACCATCAGTGATACATCTCAACACCAGTGATACATCTCACCACCAGTGATACATCTCACCGCAGTTGATACATCTCACCATCTCATCACCAGTGTACATCTCAACACCTGTGATACATCTCACCAGTGATACATCTCACCACCAGTGATACATCTCACCATCAGTGATACATCTCAACACCAGTGATACATCTCACCACCAGTGATACATCTCACCATCAGTGATACATCTCACCACCAGTGATACATCTCAACACCAGTGATACATCTCACCACCAGTGATACATCTCACCAGTGATACATCTCACCACCAGTGATACATCTCACCATCAGTGATACATCTCGACACCAGTAATACATCTCACATTAGTGATACATCTCACCATCTGTGATACATCTCACCATCTCATCACCAGTGATACATCTCACCATCAGTGTTACATCTCACCACCAGTGATACATCTCACCATCAGTGATACATCTCAACACCAATGATACATCTCAACACCAGTGATACATCTCACCATCAGTGATACATCCCACCACCAGTGATGCGTCTCACCACCAGTGATACATCTCACCACCAGTGATACATCTCAACACCAGTGATACATCTCAATACAAGTGATACATCAGTGATACATCTCACCATCAGTGATACATATCATCACCAGTGGTACATCTCAACACCAGTGATACATCTCACCATCAGTGATACATCAAACCACCAGTGGTACATATCATCACCAGTGGTACATCTCACCACCAGTGATACAACTCACCATCTATGATACATCTCACCACCAGTGATACATCTCACCACCAGCTATACACCAGTGATACATCTCACCACCAATGATACATGTCACCACCAATGATACAACTCACCACGAGTGATACAACTCACCACCAGTGATATATCTCACCATCAGTGATACATCTCACCACCAGTGATACATCTCACCATCTGTGATACATTTCACCATCAGTGATACATCTCACCATCAGTGATACATCTAAACACCAGTGATAGATCTCACCACCAGTGATACATCTCACCAGTGATATATCTCACTATCAGTGATACATCTCACCATCAGTGATACATCTCACCATCTATGATACATCTCACCACCACCAGTGATACATCTCACCACCAGTGATACATCTAAACACCAGTGATACATCTCACCACCAGTGATACATTTCACCATCAGTGATACATCTCACCATCAGTGATACATCTCACCATCAGTGATACATCTCACCACCAGTGATACATCTCACCACCAGTGATACATCTCACCATCAGTGATAAATCTCAATACTAGTAATACATCTTACAACTAGAAATACAGTTCTCCACAAGTATATAATACATCTGATGACATCTATCAATTTAAATCTTTCCTTAAGTGATGGATGTCATCAGACACATCAGACCACTAGTGAAATAGATGTTAGTGTTTTCAAGAACTGAATTAGTAATATTGGTTACATTGCTAGCGGTAGATGTGAAAACTTTGTCACCCAAAAGTGAAAAAGAAGAAAGACAAGTTGTATAAATTTGACATTTCTTATATTTCAATGTAAAAATCCATGAAATGAAATGAATATATATATATATATATAAATTTTATCAAGTGATTTGTTACACTATTTGCATATAATGGCAGTATGAAGTTGTAAGAACTATAAAAGCTATTGATGAACAAGCCTAATATAACAGGAGGAAATGAAATAAAGAAGAAACATAATCAGAAAATTAAATGAGTCAACAGAATATTGGAGAAGCATCCAAAGTTAACATTGCAGCAAGAAATTTCAAGTTATAAGTTAAATAAGAAGTATTGTACTGCATTTTTCAATAGCCTATTATGCATGGCTTCCAGTAGACCATTTGACATAAAATGTACGATTCTTGAGTTTGCAAAGACAGGTATTTTTGACATGTTTTGGCCCTTGAAATTCAAAAATGTTTGATGACAATAAAAATAACTCAAAATCAAGAGTGAACTGGAAGCCATATACTCAAAATAAATTTGCAATAATTTACATATCTAGTTTGATAGAAAATAAAAGATATACAGTCTAAAAACTAACTTTGTTCATTCCACAAATCAAAGGAATTTAGATAAATATCAAAAGCAGTTTGCCAAAATTATGCAACATTAGAAAATTGTTGAATCATGAGAGCACTCGATAAAGTTGATGACTGCTGCAGATAGATTTAGTACTGATTCTCCTCAATCCATCCTTTTATTCTGCTTGGTAGTGGAAGATGTTGGATATGATCGTAGCGAGTGTACTGTCTGATAACAAATCTACACAGATACTGTAATGATCGCACTTGGGTAAACCTGGACATTGGTTTTGTGAGTCTCACTGGGAATGACGGAGCCCTGGGGGATCTCGATCGGGAATAACAAAATATCCCAGTCTGGGAGTCGTTCATGGAGTGCTCAATTAGATCAACAATCGAGGGATAACCCTCAGTGTCTGGTTGAGCATAGAAACTGAACATGCCGTTACAATGCTCAATGCGTGTATGCCAAGTCCGTCCATAGGATCTGAAGCTTAAACTCAACAAGTATCGTTCATCTGAACTATCACGAACTAGGAAAGCACCATCTGGTTGGTTTGCAAGTTTATCTTCTGCCTCTACACGAGTTATAGGCCCCCAATACCAACCAAATCTGGAAAGCCTAAACAATTCTTGCGTAAGACTCCAAACCTTAGGAGGTTCATCCATGTCTAACAAGTCAGATTCAATAGAATCATGAGACTGACAATTTGCAAGATCTGCCTTGAGTCTTGGGTCCTGATACGACACTAACGCACTAACATTGAGACAGCTATTTCTGCTGATTGAATTTACATCACAGTTATTCTTCGACATTAAATCCAACTGTAGAACATGAACACAATCTTTCTGGCTATTTTTACCACTTTTTATTCTTTCTGTTGTATGAAATTTCATAATATCTTTAGAACGACAGCTGGCTTTCTCTTTTTTGGAACACAATTCACTGGAATCTGTATTTGATTGCAAATCCGTCAGTTTCTGTAGATTGTTCGGTAAAATATTAAGATCGAGGCTGTCATAGCTATGCGAGGAAGAGTTAGACTTGGAGGGTATGTCACACAGAGCCGGTTTTCTCTTGCTCTTCAACTTACCCCCTCTATTTCCTTCACCCTTCACCCCAGCAGACATGTAGTGTCCACATTCCAAGTCCTCGAGTATGTTACGACCATTGTCGCCATCATCACCTTTTTTTCTTAAATTTGTTGTAAGCCTCCTCTTGAAGCTTTTCAGAATACCAAACTTTTCTTTTTTTCTGCCTTCCGTCGTTGTATGTTCTGTGTCTGCATAGTTTTGTTGTGACAGAGTTTGTGAGTCACCATGTTTATCACCGCTGTTCTCACCATCCGTACTCTCTTCCTTCACACCTTGATTTCGCTGTCGGCGTTGAAACGATTGTCTCATTCCCTTAAACGTAATCTTCTTCATCATCTCTGTGGTATGAAGCGTAGTATCATCGTCAATAAGAAAAGCGCAAATATTTGTGAAATGTCAAAATAGATTGCAGGTATTCCAACTTTGGGTGATACCCAAGTCATTCTTTCCGCATGCGCAATAACCTTTTCCGTATTGTGGGTTTCAGAGCTGCGCATATTTGTATATTTCATTGGATAAATTAAAAATATTTTCATTACAAAAATTATTTTAACATAAAATAATATTTGCTTTAACACAACTATTATGATCCTGTTCTATATTGACAATACTGGAAATATTTTGATTTGTTCATAAATCGTTTCTGCTGATCTTTAATGGCAGCCTCCATGGATTCTGACGAAGAGGATTCGTTTGTCTCTCTAGGCAATGCTTTAGAACAAATCAGCGAAGGTCAGTGAAATTGGTTTGAAGAAAACATCATTTATATATAATTGGGATTAATTTGCACATTTCGTTTACTTATTCAATGTATCATTTCATCAAAAATAGGTTATATACTCATGAGTTTTTCCTGTAAGATGAAGATTAAGTACCAGTAGCAATCTATTCCTCACCTCAGGCTCATGTGTTGATGTGTTGAAAGACTTAGATAAAACACAAAAAAGTCTGTTCCCGAACACTAACCAAAGTGGCTTTCTTATCACTGCATTTGCAAAATGAAATCATGTTAATTCCTAATTCCTTTTAAAACGATTGTATGTGGTTTTTATACTCCCCTTCGCGGCACATTGTAGTTCCACTCAAACGCAGTCAATGTAGTTCACCTTTTGAGTTTTCCCAAACATATATATCTCATGTCCGCATTCCGTATTTTCGAGTTGAAGGTTTTTGTTTACTTATCAAATAATTTATTTGTCCTAAGGGTCCCCTTCAGACTAATGATTTAATTGCACATCAGCCGAAAATCCATTTTCCATCCCCAAGTTGCATTAAATCTCTCATGGCAGGAGCACATATCGACCATCTTCGGCTAAGTGTTGGAGTTCATTGGTTTCTTTGACAAGAACATATACAGGTACATGTATGGCATTAAGATGTCTGCGTTGAAGCCTTCACTATGCTGGTATAACTATGACTTTTGGCCACCAGGAGTCATTAATTCATAGTGTACTGTACTTTATCTTAAAAAGATGAAATAATGATCGCAAAACATTTTAATCAGTGGTTTAGGTCTGCATATGCCAGGTTCTTGTAGAAGTGCCCTCTGTGAAGTGTTATCTCCTATGTAGGGATAAACAAAAATAAGTTTTCTTGGATCAGTTTCACTTTGTGATACATTTTGGACATAAATTTTAATATCATAGAAAATTAGAAATACCCTAGGTTAAATGGTGACTACAAGAGCACTGAGCTATCAGTATTTTGTGAGGAAAATACTGGACGTTACTATGATAGATGGTGAATATCAAACATTTTGTTCCCATCTCATTATACATACTAGTGTCAAATTTCAAAAATGGCCTTTCAATCCCACCCACCAAGGATGACATTTTGCACTATATTTTGGGAAAAATCATACTTTGATATACCAAAACATATTTATAACAGATTCGTGGGGACTATAAAGATCAGTTTGTGATAACCAAAGTTTGCAGAAACATTATTGCAAATTATGTCTAAAATATGTAATTTATTTGAATTTAAGCATTAAACCTTGTGGAAAGCCCAATCTATAATCTAATAGAGTGAAAAGGACCTGGTGTGAAGTTTTAAACACATGCATATACATTTACATTGTAGCTCATAATCTATTTGTTATACTTGTTTACTATCAACATGGAATGATAAAACAAGTGATAACTCAATCTAACTTGTCACACTTTGAATCCTTATAATTATGATGAAAATGATTATAATGATATTTTACTGTACATATTTATGAACAAAAAGATTTTCATGTACAAAATGATTACTTTCACATTAATTGCTCAAAAGTACTATTTCAGGTGTCATGCTTTAATTTCAACACACCAAAAATCAATTTTCAATGTGGTTTGTAAATTACGTGTTGAAACAACTTTTTCCTGAAACAAAAACTTTAACATTTGTTTGTTTTCTGGATTTATCACCCTGTGAACATTCAACAACCAGGGTAATTTTTAAGCAGGGTCTCCACATAGTATTAGTAGCTGGTGGCTATCTCATTAGATAACATACAGGAGGCCCATCATATGCTATCTTGAGTTAGTAAAGTGTCTTTCCCAAGGACACTACCATGTCAGCATAGATCAGTTTGTTTCTTAGCTTCATGAGAAACACATACTGCCACGGAACGGAGGCATCAAACAATACAGCTGAGATCTTCATCTGAGGTTACATACCCAATGCTCTGACTGATCATCACACATGTAATCAAGGTGATAAGAAGCTATCAAGAGCAAAGATGGTAGACTTATCTTTTGTTAAATGAATATGTAACATATAATTATAATCTATGTCAGATGAGCCAAGAAAGAAACCAGTTTTTGCTCAGGAGCAACAAGCCAAGGATAGCAGAGGACGACCAAGGTTCCATGGAGCCTTTACTGGAGGGTTTTCAGCAGGACACTTCAACTCTGTGGGATCCAAGGAGGGTAAGTTGTTTTAAAGTTGATTATAAATTGAAAGAGCAGATTTCTGTTGTGAACTCCAGTGCAGTAGAACAATTGTTCTGCACTGTTCTACCTATAAGTTTACTGACTAGACTACTGGATTATAGTTTATATATATATTGTATAACAAAGTTGTAAGTTGATGAAAACTGTGAAACACCTGTAAGACTAACTGATAAAACATACATTATGGAATTGATCACCTGAATTTTCAATAAGATCAAACTGTTGGTACAGTTATCATTTATGTAATTTTGTGAAAACAATATAATGTGTATAGTGGTATAATCAATATCTTGTATAATTAACAATTAAAGTGGTATAATCTATATCTTGTATAATTAACAATTAAAGTGGTTTACTCAATGCCTTGAATAGTTAACAATCACAATGGTATACTCAATGCCTTGAATAGTTAACAATCACAATGGTATACTCAATGCCTTGAATAGTTAACAATTAAAGTGGTATACTCAATGCCTTAAATAGTTAACAATTAAAGTGGTATACTCAATGCCTTAAATAGATAACAATTAAAGTGGTATACTCAATGCCTTGAATAGTTAACAATTAAAGTGGTATACTCAATGCCTTGAATAGTTAACAATCACAATGGTATACTCAATGCCTTGAATAGTTAACAATCACAATGGTATACTCAATGCCTTGAATAGTTAACAATTAAAGTGGTATACTCAATGCCTTGAATAGTTAACAATTAAAGTGGTATACTCAATGCCTTGAATAGTTAACAATCACAATGGTATACTCAATGCCTTGAATAGTTAACAATCACAATGGTATACTCAATGCCTTGAATAGTTAACAATCACAATGGTATACTCAATGCCTTGAATAGTTAACAATCACAATGGTATACTCAATGCCTTGAATAGTTAACAATCACAATGGTATACTCAATGCCTTGAATAGTTAACAATCACAATGGTTTACTCAATGCCTTGAATAGTTAACAATCACAATGGTATACTCAATGCCTTGAATAGTTAACAATCACAATGGTATACTCAATGCCTTGAATAGTTAACAATTTAAGTGGTATACTCAATGCCTTGAATAGTTAACAATTAAAGTGGTATACTCAATGCCTTGAATAGTTAACAATCACAATGGTATACACAGTGTCTTGTACAATTAAGAATTAAACTAGAAAGAAATGTATACTGTATAAAAAATCATGGTCTAATGGTATTTTATACAAGCCAGTTTTATTTTTCTGTCAAGGTTTCAGACCATCAACCTTTGTGTCCTCTCGTAGCAAGAAGTGTGAGAATGAAGACCAGGGACAAAGACCAGAGGACTTTATGGATGATGAGGTAACACATTGGTAGGAATGTTTGTAACAGAAATTAGATTCTCAAGCATGATTATTTCATTTTTTCTAAACAGTCAACTTTATAAAGATTCTCTATATAGAAAATATGTTACGCATCAAGGGCTCCTGCAGTTTGGAGAGGTGCTGGTTTGTGATGTGAAACTGTTTGCCTCCACAGGAGCCACTGTATCAGTGGTAACAATCATTGTTATCAGACCAAACAACCCATTGATTATAAGGAGTAAAAGTGTTTCTTAAGCTCCCTACAAATTCATATTGATATACACTAATTTAAAAAATGTTGAAAGCTTTGATAACAAATGGAAACAGTTATAGTCTTGTTTAATGAATCTTTGATTGTTGTGCTGATTTTCTAGGACTTTGGGGAGTATGGTATAGCCCCACGGAAGTTGGTGACTGCAGGGAAGTTTGGATCACAGGAACGCAGAAAACGACAGTTAGATGAGGTTAAAAACATGACTTCAGGAACACTGTTTAGTGGGGAACCTGCCCTAGCTGATATTATAACACCAGAAAGGTAAGATACATTTTAATACAATAACCTTGTGATTGGCTATTTGACAGTGACTTATCACTGGTTTGGTAACTCATTAATTGACTAAAACCATCAATAATATGTTTGAAACTTAAGTCAGATTCTTCTGCTTTTGATATTTGTAGGTTGACTATTGGTGTTAGGCTTTTGAGAAAACTTGGTTGGAAGGAAGGACAAGGGCTTGGACCTCGTGAACGGAGACAAAAAAAAAGGACAGTTCGCTCAAAACATGTGTTCAGTAAGGTTTTACATTCACAGTGGCAATGAGATTTTCTAAAATAATTGATGGCTATGTGTTTATAATTCATATTTATATTTTTATTCTAAAAGATTGTATGTGATGGTAAAAAAATTGGAGGTTTTCAGCGGTTTTTTTTTATTTTGTTGACAAATTTAGGAATGAGTAAACTGTTTTTACAAAAAAAAGAAATTTCAAGATTAGTTCAGAGTAAACACAAACCAAAATTCTTGTACTGTGTTCAATAGTATAAATTTTAACAAAAATTAACAGTACTTTGCATACTGATGATTTACCAATAACTATTACAGATATTGGTAAGAAGTCCTATGGCTGTGCTAAACCTCCTGATTCCTCAAACACTGATAAGAAGACGTATGGGTGTGCCCCACCTCCTGGTTCATCTGCTGGTATAAACAGTGTAAGTTCAACCAGTTAGTGATGTCCATCAGCTGATGTATACATGTACTTTTGTTGCCTTTATCTTGACACTGTTGTTAGTTAATGTATGACTGATATTAATACCCTGCCTCCTACTCTAAAATTCAATATAAATAAGATCATGGGGTAGACAATAGAAAATTGTATTTCAATTTCATGAAATTTCATCAGAAAATGTAGATGTGACATCAATGAAAATTCTTTTTCTTCAAGGCCTTTCTTTGAATATTTTCTTTGCTGGCCAGATTCAAACCAGAACAGGAACATAGATCAGCTGTTTGCAAAAGTCAGGGCTTTATCTTTGATCTATCTGTTTATTAGATTCAGTGGTAAAGAAATGTACTGCCTTGTATTTTGCAGGGTTCTGAAGAAAGTGAGGATGATTTTCTAGAAGATGTGACATTTGCCCCAAAGGATACCACACCTATTTCATTTGTTGCTAAGGACAATGAACATGGCCTTGGTTACAGTGGCCTTGACCCTAGGGTGGCCTTGCCCTCTACACACATCAATCTGACTGATCCCCAGTCAACATCCAGAAGGAAATTTATGAGAGGACAAGTAAGTATACCTGTAGTAACAATGTGTACCTGTAGTAACATACCTGTAGTAACAATGTATACCTGTAGTAACAATGTATACCTGTAGTAACATACCTGTAGTAACAATGTATACCTGTACTAACAATGTATACCTGTAGTAACATACCTGTAGTAACAATGTATACCTGTAGTAACATTGTATACCTGTAGTAACATACCTGTAGTAACATACCTGTAGTAACAATGTATACCTGTAGTAACATACCTGTAGTAACAATGTATACCTGTAGTAACATACCTGTAGTAACAATGTATACCTGTAGTAACATACCTGTAGTAACAATGTATACCTGTAGTAACATACCTGTAGTAACAATGTATACCTGTAGTAACAATGTATACCTGGTATTTTTAAAACATTTATGAGTTAAACAAATACCTGATAATAGAGTAAACTGTAAGGAAATATCTCTACAGTACATAGTATATTCACAACTTTTCACGAGGTTTAAGGAACATGATCTGTATTACAGTATGTGTATGTACATAATTGGTATGAAAACAAGATACATGTATTTTGAATCACAATATGAATAATACTATTTCAGGCATTTGGGGTTGGTGCCCTAGAGGAGGAGGATGATGACATCTATGCCACTGATCATCTTTCAAACTATGACATCACCATGGAGATTGACGAGGGCAAGGAAGAGCTGTATGGGTGGACAGCTCCAGGAAGGAACAAGGGAGGAGGTAGCTCATATCTTTAACAGGAAGATAATATTTTTTATGTGTGGAGAAGGAGAGATATTATTGTGTCTTTAAGACTTGACAAATTTTTTAACCTTTTATTTACAAATCACAAGAAACATTTTTGACTGCAAGTTCCATTTATGCTGTCACCATATAACATATTTAGTTGATGTCATATGTACCATGAATATTGGACAATGGACTCAATGATAAATCATGAAGTAAGCTAAAAATGATGAGATTCAGAGATAAATTGTTGTAACATGTGAGATCACATAATTGCCATCTTTAATTCAGGAACCCAGGCACCATCTGTAGGTTACATAGGAAAGATCTTAGAAGGTTTCACACTGTCCACCAAAAAGTTGAAAGCCAAGAGAGGTTTTGGTCCTCCAAACATTCCAAAGGACTTCCGACCAGTACACAAGTTTCTCCAGACACCACAATCTGTCAATGAATACCTTTGTCTAGCCCCGTCAGGTTCAGAAGGACAACGTGACAGACAGAAAACAAAGATGGACGCTGTCACCAGGGCGCTGACACTAGGCGAATCTCCTCTCACTGGTAAGGCTATGGTTTGAAACAGACAGTATTTATTAGTATCTTTTAACAGTGATGTGGGTGTAATGTGAGTGTATCTTTATGTGACGTGAGTTTATCTTTCTGTGACGTGGGTGTATCTTTCTGTGATGTGAGTGTATCTTTCTGTGAAGTGAGTTTATCTTTCTGTGACGTGGGTGTATCTTTCTGTGATGTGAGTGTATCTTTCTGTGATGTGAGTGTATCTTTCTGTGATGTAGGTGTATCTTTCTGTGACGTGAGTTTATCTTTCTGTGACGTGGGTGTATCTTTCTGTGATGTGGGTGTATCTTTCTGTGATGTGAGTGTATCTTTCTGTGATGTGGGTGTATCTTTCTGTGATGTGAGTGTATCTTTCTGTGATGTAGGTGTATCTTTCTGTGACGTGAGTGTATCTTTCTGTGATGTGGGTGTATCTTTCTGCAATGTGGGTGTATCCTTCTCTAAGTGATGTGGATATATATTTCTTTAACAGTGACATCAGTGTATAGGGATTACTTATGAACATTTGCGTATGACTCTCAGCTTACCACAGGTAACATCACATGCTCACCACCTCTATTTATTATACTTTCTACATTCTGCTTTCTGATAGATTTACCAATATTTCATGTAAATTTATTTGGGAAATCTTACTTCCTTGTAAGTTAAGACATCTATGTAAAGGATAGCGTAAACAAATTCAAGAGATTGTGTGTACTCCGCGTTATTATTTAACATAGTTTTGTTAATTCAAGTAAAATTCATGAAGTATTTTATTGTCACAACTAATTGTCATAAATTGCCAATAGTTTAATATAATGTACTGTAAATTAGAGGATTTCAGTATAAAAATACTTTAATTAATTGTAAGTAAAAATACAGGAAAATAATACAAAGTGTTTTATCTGTGTTAAGATCATTAAAAAGAGTGACACAGAATTTGAGAATCATATACATCATTTACAAATAAAAGTAAACTGGGGTGATAAAGAACTTTTATGTAATAAAATACTAAGGAATGTTCAAATTGTATTATGTATATTGTTATTTCCCATCTGGATAAATCTTTTATTTTTATTGAAAAGGATGAATCCATATAAAGAAAAAGTTGCCTCAAAATGGTCGTAGCTGTTGACATGGCAGTAAACCCATAAAAAAACCAAGAGTTACACTGTGTAATACCTCAAAAATTACAATTTTACAGGTTCAGTGTTTGATCTGATTTCTACAAAGGATAAAACCAAGCTGGATGCCATGAAATCCACTCAACAAGGTCCTGACAAAGACACTACTGGAGTTATGCCCCCTGATAGTGTTACAGATGAGACTGCTAAAACCAGCTTCTCTAGCCAATCAGGTCCACTAAAAAATCCACATAGCGATTCTGTAAGATTGAGCCAGAGTGAGGCTAAAGCAACAGCAGGTGAACCTAAGGACCAAACAAGGTCACAAGCACCATTGTTTCAGGGAGGAAGTATTGGTTTTAAGCCTTTTTCTAAAGATCCAGCCAAACAGGAACGCTATGACAAATTTATTGCTTTGAAAAAACAGGGAAATCAAGGTATGTGATACTAACTATTACTGACTGGTAGTGATGTTTTCATGAAATCCATTCAATCTGTGCTCTAGGTGTGATTATTGGTATAAACAGAATTTGTAAACATGGAGACTGTTGAACCTTATACACTGATACAGTTACTTGCAATATTTTAGAATATCACTAGTTTATTGCCTTGTTTTAGTGTTACTATTGACTAAGGAGGTAATATAGGTACACACAAGGACATTAAAACATTTTCTACAATCTTTATACCTAAACTATGAGTGATGTGTAGATTTTTTTTTCGTATAATCGTTACAATGATAACTGCATTAATGGTACTATAATTCACCTTTAGCTTAATCTGACCTTAAACATTCAAAATGTTTAGTTGTAAATTTTTTTAAGTTTTCTGGAATTTTTCTTATATATGGGTAGATGCATATGAGGAGGTGACAAGTGGTCATATGACAGAATGGGATCGAGGTCAGGAGAAAGAAGAGTTTCTTCGAGCATCAAAGCTGTACAAACCTCTTCCAGGAATGATGGCATCACGATTTACTACAGCCAAGTACGATGACAGCACAGACACAGTGGATGTTCCGAGGGATGAAGGAGTGAGTTAACTTATGAGCAAAAAGGATTTTTTTTCAACAGAAAAGCAGGTTTAACGCTAAACTGTTTTTGTTTATCTCAGTGAAGCAAGTAACACATGCTTAGGTTGAATGGTCCATATGTTGCTGAATTTTACATGTCTGCTTGTGACTATAGATATTGATCAATTATCTAAGTATATAACTTTTTGTCAAATCCTGAGGAATGTACATTAGATACTTTATTGTTTTGTTTTCCAGGGAGACAAAACTGACCAAATGAAGGCAGCAGAGATGAAGATGTATGGACAGCTGACCCATGAAGAATTTGAATGGCATCCACACAAATTGTTGTGTTGGAGATTCAATGTCCCCAACCCTTATAATGGGTATGTTTTATGTGTCCCCACCCTTCCTCACACAAAATATGGTATTGAAGCTAAGTGTCCCCAACCCTTATACTGGGTTTGTTCAGTATGTCTCCAGCCTTTCCCACACAAAGTCGTGTTGGAGGTTCAATACCCCAACCCTTATACTGGGTTTGTTCAGTGTGTCCCCACCCTTCCTAACACAAAATATGGTATTGTAGTTACAGTGTCCCCAACCCTTATACTGAGTTTGTTCAATGTGTTCCCACCCTTCCTCACACAAAATATGGTATTGTAGGTACAATGTCCCCAACCCTTATACTGGGTTTGTTCAGTGTGTCTCCATCCTTCCTCACACAGACTTCACCTGGAAGTACAGTGTTCCTTCCTTGGAAGCTGAGTATGTTCAATGGTTTTTGGAACAAGTCACCATTCCATATGTATAATTCTCATGGAACTTTGATATCTTGTAGGTCTAGATTATCTCCCTTTTTTCCATTTCATTGATAATACCTATACGTATAAATTAATTATTGTCAGCTTTGTTATTTGAATGTTTGTTTCCCATATGTGTAAGTGGGGGAGGGGGCTGTTGTGAGGAGGTTTAAGCTACACCTTGTACACAGAAAAATGAATTCCCAGTATGAGTTGAATATGACAAGACAATTTGTTAGAGTAAACTTTATCAACTCTATATATTATACATGTATAAGATTAAGGACACTTGGTAATAACATCTATTCTGTTCTCTAGATCATCCATTGTGGGACTACCCACAGTAAAGAGGGACAAGTACTCTGTGTTTACATTCCTGAACTTCTCACATGAAGGAGAGTCTCAAAACCAGCAGGAAATGAAGGCTTTGCCTGCTCCTTCTGTTCCTGATTCACCCACTGGTAAGTACAGTTACATAACATATACCCCAATCCCACAGGATAAGCCTGCCCTCATACCAGGTAAGTACGCTTACAAATGTCTGATACAGCTCCATCCTCCTACACTACAACACACAGGATAAGCCTGCCCTCTTACCAGGTAAGTACTCAGATACAACTCCATCCTCTTACACTACAACACACAGGATAAGCCTGCCCTATTACCAGGTAAGTACTCAGATACAACTCCATCCTCCTACACTACAACACACAGGATAAGCCTGCCCTCTTACCAGGTAAGTACTCAGATACAACTCCATCCTCCTACACTACAACATACAGGATCAGCCTGCCCTCATACCAGGTAAGTACTCTTACAAAAGTCTGATACAGCTCCATCCTCCTACACTACAACACACAGAATATGTCTGTCCTGCACTGTTAATCAGAGTTGTTCCGTTCACCCACTATCCAAAAAGGACACCATGGCGGCTTTTTCCACACTTTCCTAGTATTAGACACAATGTTAAGCATAGTGTACTAAAGAGAGACTGCAATTTTTGACATGAAGGTTTCATCCATCCTCTTCAGTCTAGACTCAATTGTGGACTCAATGCCATGAATAAAAAATTGCCAAACAGTTCTGCTGGACATGAAGGATTTGTTTACTGTGACACTTGTTTCATGTTAATTATGCAATTTTTTTTTCTTTTTTTAACTACCAGGTATTGAATTCAAATAATAAATACCTTTTTTTTAATAACTAATATCACCAGAAAAGTTTTATTATTTGAATTTGAAATTGTTTCATTTAATTGTTTTAGAATCCAAGCCACTGACCTTTGACATCAAGAATCGCTCAAAGATGTCTGCTCCTTTAAAATCTGTGTTCAGTGATCTGATGGAGAAACCGCCCATAGCACAGAAACCCTCTACACCGGAATCACAGGAATCACCTGCAGATACCTCACAAAACACACAACAGGTGATTTGTCATTGAATGTACAAACCTGTATATCTATATCAAACAGGGGATAAAGGAAAATTGGTTTTAATAGACAGGAGTTGTCTTTGTAACAGAGAAACCAGTAGTTAACTGTTACTGACGACAAGTGGTTTTAAAGACAGGGTTGACTAATTAGAGACAGGTAGTGTGTTTGGCTATGAACAGATCAGGCAGGATCAACAGTTGGGACCAATTGTTACATACAGAATATTTGACTTTGGACAAATGTTTCAGGATTTACAGAAAATTATGAGAAGAAGAAAGCATATTCAATAAAGGCGGTCACTTGTCTGAAAAGAATCCTTTGATTCACTTCAGTTATCAATTCCAGTTGTTTAAGATGAAAGAACAAATGTGTTGTGTTGTAAACCTTTGAAAGATGTAACTACCTAAATTTGTTGTGCCTTGACTTGGGATTGTGTATCATTAATGGTCTTCCATTACAGACAGAAAAGCCAGCTGTGGATTTATTTGGTGCAATATTTGGTAATACAGACTCTGAGGACAGCTCCGAGGAAGATGAGGAGGAAATGGACAAGGGGCTAAATGAGACTAATCCATCACACACTGAGCTGACTTCTACTGATCCTACAGTACTAAAATCAGGTATGTAATCGAAGTGGCAGATCTGTCTCCAATGTTCAAGTTAGTTCTCATTTTAATACATGTCTTCCATAAAAACTATTGCACTACAGCCTAACTGATACTATGATTACTAGACTTTTCCTCACAGTGTGAAAGTTAAAACTTTCAGTCTTGCCTCCTATGATTCAATACATATATACCTGTACTAGACAGTATACAGAGAGTCTGTTTAATTCAGTATTGTCAAAGAGATTGATAGATTATTTTACACCACATCTGTCAGTCTCTCTTAATATTTATAACAGCTTGTTAAACTCTTGAGTGTCGAGTATATAGTCAGGTCTCAGTCATACTACAAAATTTGAAGAGTTATTCCTCTTTGTTAAAGACTCCTGGAATGCTTGCTTTGTACAATTACCTCATGGTACATGTATTTAGCATGTCTGAGTAACTAACAAATTCTGAATCTGAGATGGCACAGTGTAACTTTCTGAAGTTAGGTTATGTGCTTGAAGATTCACTAAAATTTGCTTGTTGATTAGTGCTACAATGAACTGGTCTCCATACTCTGCCTTGTTGCAGTTTTTCCTGTTCATGCAAAGCAATATTCATCAAAGCATGAAATATTCCTAAGACAAGTGAAGAATGTTTAAGTAGAGTGTCATACCTTACCTAACCAAAACAATCATTTCAGTTTGACTACACTATTTCATCACAAATCTACTGTTGTAGACAAAAATTGTTAATTATTCTGTAGCAACTACGAGCAAATTTCTAATTCTTTATTACCAGAAGAAATATTTCAAGATTCTTAACTCAACTTCATGGCCATGGTTTCTGTTAAATGGTCAAGGTCATAAACTACAAAACATGTTATTTTCTTTGTTGGTATTTATTAAAAGTGAATTCAAGGTCTCTCTCTCTGCAATATTATCTCAGACAAATAGTTGATGATAATCCAGTGGAATAGGTGGATTACAATCTACTTGTATGTTATTGTAGATGATGTATCTAAACCACAAACACATATAGAAGTTGGATCTACAAATTCAGCTGGGAGCCCAGAGGAGACAGAGCTACAAGAGAGGCTGGCTTCTTCTCCACAGACCCTTCCTGAGGATGAGGATGAGCAGTATGGACCAGCACTACCGCCTCCTGGTATTATTCTCACAGCAACATATATAACTTGTTCTGGATAACTTACCTTACAATTAAAAAGAGATGAGATTTGTGTTTCTGTGGCTCACTCATGAATCTACAAAGGTCATACCTTATCAAATGTGGTTTGTTTATCTTGTACATTGTTTCAGTTGTTGCATGTTAAAATATCTACTTTACCTTTCTATAATCCAGGTGCTCCATGTCCGGTTAGTACAACTTCTACCTCAGCGTACATTGATTTAACCTCAACATCTAGTCATAAACAAAAACATAAGGACAGACACAAAGAGAGACATAAGGACAGACACAAAGACAGACACAAGGACAGACACAGACACAAGAAAGAGAAAAAGGTAAACAGTCCCACAATCATAAACAATCTTTTTAAGTAAAATATTAAAGTTTGTTAAAGGCTAGACAAGTTTTCCCACAGCTGTCAAGGTCACCAGAGAGAATATTTTATTACAACTACCTTTCCTGACTATCATAATCAGCATTGGACTACCAGTATTTATTTGATTCTCATCCTTTTTTAGGAAACATTTATTTGGAATAAACTATTGAACAGTGATTGATAATAGAATAGAACAATGCAGAGTAATTTCCAAAGATAGAAAATATGAAGCATCATCTTGATTGTGAATCAGTAGATGAAACTATTCCATTTCTTGTAGGCAAAACATAAGAAAGACAAGCACAGAGACAAGAAGAAAAGTAAGAAGCACCGGAGACGCAGTGATACCAGCAGCTCTGATTCTAGTGACATTGACGAGGATAAACAGCTGATTCACAAGTTAGTACTTTCACTTCCACAGATCATAAATTTGATTTTACACTGATGTAAAATTCCATGGAAGATTGGAGAGAGAAAATTGCAGTCCATAAAGTTATAAAGAGAAAAACACAATCATTTTTCAAAATGATGATATCCCAGATCTTGCGAGTTATAAAGAGAAAAACACAATCATGCCACAGGTTGGGCCTACCATTTAATTTTTTACACCAATATGGTTGAGATATCTACTCATTTAACCATATTACAGTCCCCATCATAAAAAATGTGTACAAATGCCTTTCATGAATAACAAAAGTGTCCTAGATCGCAGCATGCATTGTAGTTAGCATGTCATTGCCTTGCTCCTTATAGCAATTCATACTGCATAGAATACTAAACCTGACAGTAGTTATATAAGTCCAGATATAATTTGACATTTCTTGTATTTCATTATCAAAAAAAATGACCATAGTATATGTAAGGGGTCAAGATGTACAGGAACAATCTCTGTGTGTTTGTTTCATTTGTGAAAAGTAACACTGACCAGAGGGTTTATAGTCTATAGTAACACTGACTAATATTTATAGTATATTGTAACTAAGATCAGAAGATTTAGATTTGATATACAGTGAAACCTATCTAATCCGACACCTGACTTTTCCGACATCCTGACAAATCCGACACTGTACCGTATTCCCGTGAAATTGCGTTATTTGTCAATGTATTAAAACACTGATATTTCCGGTCACTGTCAGTTCCGAATTCCGACACATATTTCTATGACGGCAGGCTATCTTTGTTAGTTAATTATACCTGGTAAATCCAACACGTAAGTCATCATCACATCACAGATGTGTACACAACCGTTCCGCTTACAAAGGGGGGATTATTGTACTGTACACATGTAAGTTTACCCTGCCATAGTGAGTATAAGTCAGTTTTTTTTACACACACATGCAGTACATGTACATACATGTACTTATATAAGATATACGATTTGTTTTATAAATATACGATGGATGTAAGCTTCTCAGTTGTTTATGTGTTTACCTATGAAATACAAGTGTACATACATATAAATTAATTGTTAGTTTGTCATTATGTAGCTCTCCATGTTGGTAAGTCTCTGGTCTCTTTGTTTTAGGTTGAAGGCTGTGAAGCAGCAGGGACTTCTTCCGACATCAGACTTTCTATAACAACACCACTGCTCTTCCAAGCAAACAGGTCGCTGTGATAAATATACAACTCTCACAACTTTATATAATTGTAAATAAATAAGTTGTTAATACCTGTTAAACTCTTGTTAAGTTTTAGGTTTATAGGTTAAAGCTTTCACACTGTAAAATGTCATGGTAAGATATTTCCATGATAAAGATCATGAAGCGGTATGATAATACATTCTCCACTTGTCTGTAATGAATCAATGCAAGATTGCTTGAAAACTTAGTCATACAGTCCCACACAGTGTCAAATTCAGGCCGTTTTATTTTTTAACTCACCTTGCCTATACTTGCCATGTTTGTCTTCTACAATAGAAAAGAATTTATCAGTCACTGATAAATAATGTTTAGCCTTGGGTATTATAAACTTAATACAAGATTATTCAGTTGGTTTAGATCAATAGATATATGTTCAGTAAAGTGGTGTGTCTCTATCGTCTTTACATGAAGTCTTTTCCTGGACAACATGTTGATTCCATTATTTTTAAGAAATACTGGTCCTTGCTTGTTTTGAGAATTTTTTTTGCAAAATGAAAATACTGTGATAGATATTCAAGGTCAAAGAGGTAAACTGGTTAAAACTTTCAAACACTGATAAACCGATATATCTGTAATTATACTTGGTTGGTTTTTTCAAGGGATTTGCCAAAAGACCCATATTTTAAGAGTCAAATTCATAAAATATTCTAACAACTTTTGATGATTAATCAAAAGGCTGGAATGATGATATTGGGTTGGTAAATCTCTGGGATGAACTCAGACTAAGAATGAGAATAGAAATGAACCTTGACCATATTCATAGACACAAATTCAAGGTCACTTGGGTCAAATTTCTCTACCAGAAAAGAAGCAATGCTGTGACAAAGAATGCAAAACTTTGTGTCATGTACATACATTCAACAATGTCCAACTTCAGGACTTCCTTTTCATCCTCCTCTGTCTCAAACCAGATGGCAGTAGAGTTGTACCCAAAAATATTGTCAGTTGATAGTGGTCTTTGTGTAAATGATCATGATCTATGATAATGAACAAGGGAGAGATTTTGAACCAACACGGTACCAGTTTCATTCTTCAGGTTCAAATAACTGCATATTCACCGAAATAAAAGCTATGAACTGATGCGTTACAAAAATAAAACACAAAAAAAAAGAAAAGAAAATTGCAGTTACAAGTACTACATTATGCAGACATGGCGATGTTACAAATGAAGGTATGGAGAAAGTCTTAAAATATCAAGTAGTGTAACAGCACACCTTGGTGCAGGTGTGATTAAGTGCAAATATCAGTAATGCATATACATGATTCAAGGTTTGTAGGCTGTGTCGTTGCCTATTGGAAGTGTTAACATGATACTATGAGAATATTCTCATATACTTGTGACAATGGAGTCTCAGACCTAGGTTATTACTCTCAAACGGACAAAGTTCAGTTGAAGAAATCTAGACATTTGAATCCTGATGACCGTAACATTTTCAAAGGTTAGATCCATCTGAGCTGGTATTAAACTGGACAATGGATTTTTTAAAAATCCACATCACAATTCAAAATATCATAATTCATCCTTCAAAAGATTTGAATTCAACCAATGGTGAAGTAGGAAGAAATTGTAATATACACAAGAATATTGATTCAGTATCATTGTGTATCAAATGGAGAAACAAAAAAGTTATTTTAATACAGAGCCTTCTCCAAGTCTGGGCAATTTTAAGTAGTGAGTTTGTTACATTCACTGTATACAGAGAAAACACGGTACCAGCTCCATCTTTATCTGTTTTACCCTTTTGTCAATAGAGCACAACTCAAAAATGGATTTGAACTTGGAATTACAAAGTTAAAATATTATTCCCCTGTACACAGTACATTGTCACACAATATGGAACTACCACACAAGTTTCTATGATAAAGAAAACAAAACATATATTGAAATGAGAAGTTTTAATAAATTCTACTACAAGCAAAGATGTTTTAATAGAAACAGCAAATGTACAACAATGATATAATAAATTATTTCAATCATAAATATTATTTGATCAATTGCATTTTAAGTACAGAACATTGCCCAAATCCTCCAAGTAGTGTTTTCCAATAAAGAAAAGTAAACCTAAAAATTTTAACAAATAAACTGAATAATACTGGGTTATAACAGTTACGTTTAAATATACTGTAATTCATCAATAGATCACATTTCTATGAAAATTATTGGACATCATCAGCTGCCCCAAAAAACACACCATTTACACGGTCACAATTACACGTTTATCAATCCTGCCTTCCCTTTGCTCTTCTATGATGTATGGATTATGTACAGTTATATACATGTAGATCACTGGTGGGCTCTTCCACTGAAGAGGAAAGGGACGGAAGGACTAACATGATGAGTTATCAGATGTTGTCAGATTTTGCCATCCTTTTAGACCCAGTACAAATTTGATATGATGGACTTCTTGAAATATAATACAGGATGACAGCACTGGTGACAAATGCTTGTTTTTGCATACAAGAACGTATGTGTTTATGTAAGTTTCCAACACCATTACTAAATGGAGACTGCCACTAGTACAAATTTGTTGTGGTTCAGTCACTGTCAAAGGCACACACTAAGATACTGGGTGGAATGTTTTGTGTACAGTGATGCAGTTCCTCTTGTTAAGGACACACGCCCTTGGAATGACCATGCCTCCTTGCTGAGAGGACAGGTCTGTACCACAGGGGATAAGATGATACAAACACACATCGTGACATACAAGATACACAAAATGATGAAGTCCTGTGAAAGTTCAGCTATGCACGTTCATCTACCCCAGCCTGTGTCATCAGATCAGCAATGTTCTTCTCAAGATCATCAATGCGGTTTCCCATCTCATCAAGTACAGAGTGGTTAAGGAGAAAATATCTCTTAATCTTTGATAAACATCCCAATTTGTAATAAATATTAAATATACTGTATAATACCAAGGACAGGCCAGGTATAAAATGTAATTTGTTATAAAAGTTGAGGGTTTGTGTTCCTGATTCAATGTATATACAAAGATATTACTTCTGGTTATATTTACAGTCACCACTGCAAAATGCCTAAATAAAATTTGTAATGCTCATTATCAATATTTATGGGTAATTATAGTCTCTATTGCTTGCATATTGATAGGACATTATGAAATGAAGGACTTCTGCATAACATCATTGTATCACAAAGAAGACTTGAATTGTACACATTTTGAAATGTCTCTGCAGAATTAAATTTAGTTGAAATATGGTCCTGATATTGATCTTTGTCAAACTTTTAAGTTTTCTTTCATGGAACATCAATAGTGTAAACATTGAAATTTTATAATTACCAAATAAAATTAAGAAACATTGAAATTTTATAATTACCAAATAAAATTAAGAAACATTGAAATTTTGTAATTACCAAATGAAATGAAGAAACATTGAAATTTTGTAATTATTGAATGAAATTAAGAAACATTGAAATTTTGTAATTATTGAATGAAATTAAGAAACATTGAAATTTTGTAATTACCAAATGAAATTAAGTATATGTGAAATATTTCTTAAAATGTTTTGTTGTGGTGGTATCAGAAAGACCTTCCCATGATGGTAGTTTTAAACCAGCAAACTCAATGTTTTCATTATTTTTGTGTCTGTAAATGTTTTATTGAAGAATCGCATATATTAGGATTAGCTAAATCACTTATTCAATTTACCTGATTTCAATTGTCCCCCAATAACCCAAACAAAATAGAAAATCAATCCTTTAATACTAGACAGTAGTGTGTACTTGGTAAAGGATATTCCTTGTGATCACCTGGTCAGACATGTTCTGGAACTTGTCCTGCATCTGTTGTAGAAGAGTTTGTACCTGTAACAGTAAATAATACACATCATTCATCTGTATAATAACCCATTAAAGTATTTAAAATTAAGTTATATTTAAGTATGATTCACAACATGCGATGTTGGTGATATAGATCACTTACTGGAAAACCTAGCAGAACCTTAGTTCTTGGAAAATTTCTCGAATCTGGAGATTTATTTTCTTGTCTGGATTTTAGTTACATGGATTTGTTTTATGTTAATGATATAAATAAATTGCAGGGATTTGTTAGTCACATTTTGTCATACACATTTATTTTACTGTCAAAGATCATTTATTTTTATGTTACAGAAATATTTGACCTTAAGTCATACCGTTAAAGTCACACTGACTAAAGCATTATACTGTCATCATGTTCAACTTCTGTGTTTGATGCATATAAGGTTTGTGCATCAACCTAGAGGCAATATTGTAGATGACTGATAAAGTCATGATATGACTTGGATTATACTGTGGGGAAATTGAACTACCTGTAGAAAATCCATGCAAGTTAGACAGGTGAGCCCCTAATATCTTTTTCATGTCTGTTCAGGGAATCCAGCACTGATTCAGCTAAGTGAAAGGTGAGTGTGTTACCATTACACCACCTGACAAAGTGCTGGGTTATGTACACTTATTGATTACGATCATGTATTAAAAATATAATACATTAGGAACTGCCCATGGTAGTAATTTATAAAGATACAAATATGAAAATAACCTAATTGTCAAATCTACAGTAAAAGTTTCACAGATGACAACAGTTAGGTTAATAGTAATATCATTGCCTATTTATTGTACAATATCTGATAAGTCAAAACCAGGATAATCAGTAAATTTAGTTTGATTAGATAACTGTACAGTTTCTGATCAGTTGAATATTCAAAAAGTCCTTATGAAATTACAAGGAAAAAATAATGGTGATAATCCTTGTAAAACAAAGTCTGGTCATAAAAAAATCCAATGCATTATCAGTTAGAGATCTGAAGTAAAAACTAAAACTTTGCAGGAACTGTTTCATGTGTGATTATCTTACAAGTGAAAATTATTGATTTTATTTGTAACACAAAGCCAGTCTCTATAAAAGGCTGTTTGCTACATATTATTGATTATGCATGTTGCTACATGTTACAGTGCTATACACAACATTTCACTTACTATAGTTCCCTCAACAGGTACAAAGTGTTTGTTCTAAACCTGTATATCTATAGGCATGGACTAATATGTTAACTGTTTGGGAGGGATAAATGCAAACAGAAACATCCAATATTACTGTAGTTTATCACGTTCCAGGTAAACAAGACAGAGTGTCTTATGAAAAACATGGGATCAAGTAATGAAAATTGTCAGATTTATAGACAAAGCAAACATATATAACTCGGCTAAAGTTGTAAACTCAAAAGATCCTTCACACTAGAATATATTTCATATAGATAAAGAGTTATGACCTTTGCCACGTCTACAGTACACAAGTAGTCTTAAGCTCAGGTAAACTAGTACTGTACAAATTCTGTTATATTACATGTACATAATACAAGGACCAATGTATTTCCAAACTGCCTGCATATATACCTGTACACAAGTTTATTACATACATATATTTGGTTCTAAATATATTGGTCTCCTGTTGATATTTGTTACATAAAAATGAATTATTACATAATATTATATATTGGTTACGAATGTCATGGCTGCAGATCTAGATTTATTAGACCATGTGTTCTAAACAGTAACAATATTGCTGACAGATATATTACCTATTTCCTGACCTACCCCATTTTATAGTGACATGTTCATGTAGCTACATGTCCAACATACCATATGTTTTACACTAATACAATAACTCCTGTATATTATACCTTTTATGGTGACAATAAGTCTTTGTTGTTATTGTCTACACCTTTAATGTATATCTAAATTATTCATACCTTTGCCATACCTATATGTTTTCTGCTTCAGTTGAATGGTTATGGGTACAGATATATTGATTAGACCAGCTGGATTTGCTTACATATGCGTTTTGTGCAACACTTACAGGCCAGCAAAGTAGATAGCATTCCTGGGTAGATTTTCTACTTCTAATTCATATAGCAAGGCAAATCCTTGTACTTGAGTCAATAGATTTTCGTTGGTTTTTTCCAATAAAAGTAAATAAAATTGATATTTGCTCTTGGACAATATGAAAAGTGAATTTGTATTTTCTAGTTATAATAAGTGTTATTAGAAAAAAAGATTTTGGTATGATCATTATAATTTTACAAAAATCTTAATAATAATGCCTAAGAGAATGAGAAATTTGTTTGCAGCATATAAAAATACATATCAAACATCTTTTTTAAAAAACATAGAATGGTATATTTGGTTGATGTTCACCATTCTTCAAATAATTAGTTTTAGTGTCACATAGTACTCAATTCCCAGTGAGCAGTCTCATATTTTGTGACCCATATATAGTTTGCTTTAGCAATGAAGTTGAAAAGGACTCATGAAAATAATAGTAGATTTATCACTAAATTCCTTTTTAAGGCTTTCACAGAAAAAATCTATACACTACAATTTTTTTTTTATCTTTTTTAACTCTTTGTGACATTCCTCCTTGCAAACTTAAAATACACACTTTCAGTGTGAATTCTTTCCAATTTATTTCAAACACACATGTAGTCTCTTGATATCTTCATGCTCCATCTTACTATGAAAACCATTGATTTTTCAAAGGCAATCCAAACAAAAGGTATTTTATCACGATATTAACAAGCTTTATAAGAATACAGGTTGCCTAGAAGCCATCAATACAAATTGCATACCAGGTCACTGGTGATTTTAACTTTCCCTGGCTATTGTATACTTTAAATTGCATTCAGTTACACAGCTTTCACTTTCTGAACAATTAGGTATACAGCTGTACAAAGAATACGCTACTTATAAAATTAAAGGCAAATCCTAGACCATGTGACAATAGTTCTTTGTTGGTGTTTAAATAAAGATACAAAACCGATGTTTGCTCAGAAACACAGTAACTTAGACTTGACTTACACAAAATTACATTACAATCTAGAATAATGTTATAAGTAAAGATTCACATACTGTTTTATAAGCAAAAGTAAAACAAAAACATGTTTTTGCATTTTCATTTTGCTTCAAAAAGGATATTCATACATCATTAAAGGCAGAAATTTCATTTAACTGTCCTTTTAATGTATACAGGCATCATCAAGGCTACTAATGAATGACGAGCAACAAAATTTTAGAGAAAGTCATTTATATGTTTAGTGATCAAGTTTCATTTTGCTCTTTTTTATTCATGTTTATATATGTATTTTAATGAAGACATCTGGTTCCTACACGAGACTGAGATATACCTATCAAAATGTCAAATATGATGTCTAGTATAGTATGTGCATGTAGAAACCAAAGGAAATAACATAAATAGCATCAGACAAAAAAAGGAAATAAGTGAAAGCCTTAAAATGAGAAAATTCAAATTTAAAGAAAATAGTCTTCAATGAAATTGTTGGCGAGCATTTATCCTTTCTGATGAGGCAGTCCACTTCAAATTAATCTTCAATTGAAACAAGATCTTCAATCACAAATTAACCAAATGGATTCAATTCAAACTCTCATTTTTTATCCATTCTTCGTTCGGTCTCATTGTGAACCTCGGATTAAAGTATCAGTTCTTAGAATACAAATCTATATCACTGTATAAGACATAGTATATCAGTCTATCTGGTACTCCTATGGATATTAACAGTTATGTGCAATACAATTTGTGCGTGCGTGATTTCATACTATTAGGAATTATCAGACGATAGGTGAAATCACAGGTACCAGCCTCGTCTGCAGAAACATTCCTGTGACAGGGGAAGCGTATATGTGTTGTGGAATTAAAACTTATAGACCTATCTCCATATTAAAACAGCATGCATTTGTCTCAGATATTCGTATTGATGCCTTGTAACTACGAAACAAATAACTGTATCTGAAAAGGGAACATCTTCAATCCGATCGAACGGATACAGTTACGAGGGACAACAAAGTTAATCATGTTTGAACTTGCAATTCTTACTTACAGACCTGCCTACCTTGATCAGGTAAAACAACATTTAGCGGGCAAAAAATGTCGAAAAAACTTACAAAAGCGGTCAGGTCCTGGATGTTCTTGGGATCAGCATTGTTTGCCATGTAATCTTTGCCGTAGTCTGCCATGTCTGCTCCTTCTTTCGAACAAGATGTTGTTCTGACAGTCGAGCAAGAGAGTAACAGGAAGTGATTAGTTTTCGATTACAGCGCATGCGTACTGAAAACAAAAAGAGGTCCGTAAGGGGAACATTTCACCTTGGGCAGGTGCGTGTGCCAATGAATATCCCATTACTGCTGTTATATTTATAAATGACTTGTAGCGTTTATCTCGAATATGTAACCGTATTGCGAACAACAAATTCATGCCTAAAGTAAACATTGTTAATTACGCAATCAATTCAACAAAGAATTCGTATCTTTCATGTCACAAACAAGAGTTCATTCAAACAATATGTTAGGACTACAGACTATCAGAGAAGTCTCTGAGACTATGTATTGAAAAAAAAGACTGGCACGTGAATACTTTCACGGGATTTTACATATATGAAATCATTTTACACAATTGAAAACTAAACGTGAAAATGTCAAAGTAATGTGGTAGAACAAGTGCATGCTAGGCAGTTCGTTCTGTCCCGATATCTGTGGGGTGACTTTATTTTTTATTCTGCATGGTCCGATGTCTAGTGGGTGACGATTTTTTTTTTATTTTTCATGTCTACGGGGTGACTTTTTTATGACGGATGTCTATGACTGACGTTTTATTTTGTTTTTCACGGCCCGATGTCTACGGAGTGACGTTTTTTATGACCCGATGTCTATGGATGACGTTTTATTTGTTTATTCTACATGACCCGATGTCTATGGGTGACGTTTTATTTGTTTATTCTACATGACCCGATGGCTATGGGGTGACGATTTTTTTTATTCTACATGACCCGATGTCTATGGGGTGACGTTTTATTTTTTTTATTCTACATGACCCGATGTCTATGGGGTGACGTTTTATTTTTTTTATTCTACATGACCCGATGTCTATGGGTGACGTTTTATTTGTTTATTCTACATGACCCGATGTCTATGGTGACGTTTTATTTGTTTATTCTACATGACCCGATGGCTATGGGGTGACGATTTTTGTTTATTCTACATGGCCCGATGTCTATGGGGTGACGTTTTATTTTTTTATTCTACATGACCCGATGTCTATGGGGTGACGATTTTTGTTCATTCTACATGGCCCGATGTCTATGGGTGACGTTTTGTTTTTATTCTACATTATGGTGATATAAAATCCGACTTTCATTTATTTTACAACAATTGCGAAATATTTTTTCCCAGCATATGTATCAATAACTCTTGTTGGTTCGAATGAAAGGGGTCTTACTGGGAAGGAAACTGGAGAACCCGAAAAAAAACCCACGTGGGCGGGCAATTCCTTTCCGAGAATGGAACCCTGGACGATGGGTGATAAATGAGTGCGTTTCCACAGCGCCATCCAAGACCACGTGCGATTTTTGTGTTCGTCGTCTCATACCATTGATCAGATTGTCATTTTTAGTGACGGTACTGGATATTGTGTCTCGCGACAGGACTAGATGTCATGACTACAGTACCAGATATGATGTCTAGTGACGGAACTGGATTTCTTGTTTAGATATAGTATATTAAATGTCTCTTCTAATTCTACTACTATACGTCACGCCTAGTGACGGTACTGGGTGACAATACTGGATGCCTTTCCTAGTAACAGTACTCTGCGTAGTGTCGTCTGACGATACTGAATGTCTCGACTGGTGACAACACAATACGTTGTACGTAGAAATGGTACACGATGTCGTGTCTATTGACGGTACTGAATTAGTTGTCTAGTGAAAACAGTAGACGAAGTGTTTATTGACGGTACCCGACGTTTTGTCCAATGACGGTTAAGACGATTTCCTGTCAATTGACGACACTGTATACCATATCTAGTGACGATACCGGATCACTTGTCTAGTGACGGTACTGGATGTCGTGTCTATTGACGGCACTGAATGTCGTGTCTATTGACGGCACTGGATGTCGTGTCTATTGATGGTACTAGATGTCGAGTCTATTGATGGAACTGGATGTCGTGTCTATTGATGGTACTAGATGTCGTGTCTATTGACGGCACTGGATGTCGTGTCTATTGACGGTGCTGGATGTCATGTCTATTGACGGCACTGGATGTCGTGTCTATTGATGGTACTAGATGTCGAGTCTATTGATGGAACTGGATGTCGTGTCTATTGATGGTACTAGATGTCGTGTCTATTGACGGCACTGGATGTCGTGTCTATTGATGGCACTAGATGTCGTGTCTATTGACGGCGCTTGATGTCGTGTCTATCGATGGTACTAGATGTCGTGTCTATTGACGGCACTGGATGTCGTGTCTATTGATGGTACTAGATGTCGTGTCTATTGACGGCACTGGATGTCGTGTCTATTGACGGTGCTGGATGTCATGTCTATTGACGGCACTGGATGTCGTGTCTATTGATGGTGCTGGATGTCATGTCTATTGACGGCACTGGATGTCATGTCTATTGACGGCACTGGATGTCGTGTCTATTGATGGTACTAGATGTCGAGTCTATTGATGGAACTGGATGTCGAGTCTATTGATGGAACTGGATGTCGTGTCTATTGATGGTACTAGATGTCGTGTCTATTGACGGCACTGGATGTCGTGTCTATTGATGGCACTAGATGTCGTGTCTATTGACGGCGCTTGATGTCGTGTCTATTGATGGAACTTGATGTCGTGTCTATTGATGGTACTAGATGTTGTGTCTATTGACGGTGCTGGATGTCATGTCTATTGACGGCACTGGATGTCGTGTCTATTGACGGTGCTGGATGTCATGTCTATTGACGGCACTGGATGTCATGTCTATTGACGGCACTGGATGTCGTGTCTATTGATGGTACTAGATGTCGAGTCTATTGATGGAACTGGATGTCGAGTCTATTGATGGAACTGGATGTCGTGTCTATTGATGGTACTAGATGTCGTGTCTATTGACGGCACTGGATGTCGTGTCTATTGATGGCACTAGATGTCGTGTCTATTGACGGCGCTTGATGTCGTGTCTATTGATGGAACTTGATGTCGTGTCTATTGATGGTACTAGATGTTGTGTCTATTGACGGCGCTTGATGTCGTGTCTATCGATGGTACTAGATGTCGTGTCTATTGACGGCACTGGATGTCGTGTCTATTGACGGCACTGGATGTCGTGTCTATTGACGGTACTGGATGTCATGTCTATTGACGGCACTGAATGTCCTGTATATTGACGACGGTGGATGTCGTGTCTATTGACGGCACTGGATGTCGTGTCTATTGACGGCACTGGATGTCGTGTCTATTGTCGACGGCGGATGTCGTGTCTATTGACGGTACTGGATGTCGTGTCTATTGACGACGGCGGATGTCGTGTCTATTGACGGCACTGGATGTCGTGTCTATTGACGACGATGGATGTCTTGTCTATTGACGGCACTTGATGTCGTGTCTATTGACGGTGCTGGATTTCGTTTCTATTGACGGCACCGGATGTCGTGTCTATTGACGGTGCTGGATGTCGTGTCTATTGACGACGGCGGATGTCGTGTCTATTGACGGTACTGGATGTCATGTCTATTGACGGTACTGGATGTCATGTCTATTGACGGCACTGAATGTCCTGTATATTGACGACGGTGGATGTCGTGTCTATTGACGGCACTGGATGTCGTGTCTATTGACGGCACTGGATGTCGTGTCTATTGTCGACGGCGGATGTCGTGTCTATTGACGGTACTGGATGTCGTGTCTATTGACGACGGCGGATGTCGTGTCTATTGACGGCACTGGATGTCGTGTCTATTGACGACGATGGATGTCTTGTCTATTGACGGCACTTGATGTCGTGTCTATTGACGGTGCTGGATTTCGTTTCTATTGACGGCACCGGATGTCGTGTCTATTGACGGTGCTGGATGTCGTGTCTATTGACGACGGCGGATGTCGTGTCTATTGACGGCACTGGATGTCGTGTCTATTGACGACGGTGGATGTCGTGTCTATTAACGGTACTGGATGTCGTGTCTATTGACGGCACTGGATGTCGTGTCTATTGACGACGGTGGATGTCGTGTCTATTGACGGAACTGGATGTCGTGTCTATTGACGACGGTGGATGTCGTGTCTATTGACGGAACTGGATGTCCATCTTAACTGATATGTGCATTAGCAAAGTTTGCCACACGTGAAGTTTCCTGAATATCCGTGCTCATGAGAGTTTTCTATATTATTAGTAAAAGTGACTATGACCTTGACTCTAAAACCCTTAATCTTCGTCTTGTCCATTATAATGCTGGCCTTCATTCTAAATGAGTAGTCTGATCTATATCTCTCCAGGAACGAAGCCACTGGGTCGCTAAAAAGGGACCTTAACTTACAAGCTAGACACTAGAATTCTTGTGAGAATTTATTTGTCCTTTATATGTGTGTGATGTTTGATAAAATCAAAATTCCTCAAGAAATTAAACCGTAAGAACACCGACAAAGATTTTCCAAAAATAAATAACGGTCAGTTGAAATAAAACGCGAAGGAAAACTGACGTGTTTTTATACAAACACTTGATATATCTTATCGTGGTTACACAACCCTTTTGACCTTTCGTGTCCGTGCAGTTATCTAGTGTTGTTTATGGGAAGGATCCTGAATTCTCGACTCACTTTAACATAGAGTGTCGTATGCAATAGCACGAACATCGGTAAATCTCCTCGTGTATATCACCAAACCACAAGCTGGTTACTCTTCGAACGAGAACAATGGATCCGGAGACATTTCTTTATTTTGCTTATGGAAGCAACTTGCTAAAAGAACGACTTCAGCTGAAAAATCCCAGTGCTACGTTTGTAACTGTTGGTAAACTAAAGGTGAGTGCAATCCACACACTTAATAACAGTGAAAACATATTCTCATCTCAAAAGAAGACGTTAATTGACAGTCTATCAAATCAACAAGACAACAGATACAGTGTGATAGAGGCTTAATATCATAATAAATTGTAGGACCAAAATGTATAATATGTATATATTTGATAAATTGTATAATCTATTATCACTAGGTTATATTAACAACAATACTGTTAACAAAATCGTGGACATAATCCGAACTAAAATAGATAAAAAGCAACATAGCACCGCAGTTCATACCCACATGAACTACCGTTACTCTAGACCTCAAACATCGACCTCGACACATCCTGTACAACAGGTCTACATCATATCGATGCTATATTTTATCTTGGATTTCCAGAATTACAAATTGTGTTTTCGTACCAATGTCGACCCAGCAACCAGTGAATTGAAGGGAGGTTCGGCTAACATTGAGCCTCACCCCGGGGCTGAGGTTTGGGGCGTGGTCTGGCAACTGGACAAGGACGATATGGTCAGTCTGAACAGGTAAGCATTAAGAGCAGGTGTGAATGACTAGATCAACAACATGGCGTCGTGTTTTACTCAGTGGTTAAGGAAACCGAGACTATTTATCTATAACTCGGTTATAAGATAAACCTATAGAAAACGTTATTCCGTCCGAAAACTGACGTCAGCGTCATAAGCCTGATTTGTCAATTGGGGGTAGATAGTCGGTCTTTGCAAATTGGTACCTGCACGGTTTTGTGTAAACAATATGATGTAATGTTTCCTAAAATATTGGAAACATTACATGTTTAATCTCTGAGATGAACGCACAAAGACATAATTATTGTTACATGTCACGTGTTTGTAGTGAAATTCACATAGTGACCATTACCATTTCTTTGTGATATTTCAGACAAGAACATCATCTTCAACCCTTCACCGTCAAGGTGACCTCCAAGGATGCTGAGTTTGAGTGTCACTGTTTCCAGATGATTCCTCAAGACACCAAGAAAACTTATGATCGGCGTCCTTCACCTCAGTATAAAGAAATCATATTGTTGGGTGCTCGACAGTCCAACCTTCCCTCCGAGTACATAAAGGAAATGGAAAAGTGGGACGTCAACAACTACGATGGAAAGGTCGATATTTACGATCGAGTAATGGAAATTATGTCAAAAAGCTGAAATGTCGACATTTACGATCGAGTAATGGAAATTATGTCAAAAAGCTGAAATGTCGACATATATAACGGATATTCATGTAAATTAAATGTCGAGGTACAGTAACGGAAGTTATTGTAATTACAACATCTATACTTCACGTGGTGTGTCGAAATTCACTTTCACATCCCTTGGGTCAAGGTCACTAGATAAATGAAAGTTTAATGCCAAACTTTGTCCAATACTGGCTTGATCACATGGCTGAATTTTTTAAATAAAGGAAAAACACGATCTGGTTCTGTGTTGAATATCGATCTTCAGATTCGATTACATTTAAATGAAATAACCCTATAAAATATATTGTGTCAATATCGAATGCTGCGGGTTACTCTTCCAACCCTGGGTTCATGGTCATGGCAATCGCCATTTTCACCATAGTCGTCTGGATGAATCTGTTATCATTTTTGCTTCAACAAAATTGTATGATCTGAAGAAAATAATAAAGATGGAAAACGACACTTATAAATAAAATGTATCACATCTTTATTTAAACAAGAGATCCCAGAGGGATCTTGGCGCCCATCATTTGAGGATCTGTTTTCAGTTCTTGAAGATTTGTTTATTTTTTTGTTTGTTACAGGTGTTGTAAATGTTCATGAACTGGTCTTCATTGAATGTACTCAATGATATTTTTATTAAGCACCTATTAGCAAATATCATTTGAAAAAGATCCCAAAGTATTATTAGACAGCAGTCAGTTACAGGTGGATAATGGAAAATATGCTTGTGCTGTATTACTGTCGACATCCAAGATGGCTGCCTGTGGGCCACCTTGATTTCAAATCAGTCCAAAAAAGGTACAATGCACAACTAGGGACCAAGGGAAACCAATATCAATGAAATATCAGAAGGATCCATCCAGTACTTCCTCAGATATAGCAGTAAAAAGATTTTACTCTCAAAATCCAGGATGGCTGCCTGTCAGGGGAAACAGCATATGAAATTTGAGAAAGATCCATCCAGTACTGTCCAAGAAATAGCGGTAACAAACTTTTACATCCAAAATCCAAGATGGCCACCTGATCCATCCAGTACTGTCCAAGAAATAGCCACCTGTCGGCCATCTTGAATTCGAATCAGTCCAAAAAAGGTACAATGCACAACTAGGGACCAAGGGGAACCTGCATATGAAATTTGAGAAAGATCCATCCAGTACTTTCTCAGAAATAGCGGTAACAAACTTTTACTTCCAAAATCAAAGATGGCCCCCTGTCGGCCATCTTGAATTCGAATCAATCCAATAAAGGTACAATACACAACTAGGGACCAAGGGGAACCTGCATATGAAATTTGATAAAGATCCATCCAGCACTTTTCCAGAAATAGCGGTAACAAGAATTGTTTACGGACGGACGGATGGACGGATGGACCACGGACGCAGGGCGATTTGAATACCCCACCATCTGATGATGGTGGGCTAAAAACAATATTGTCTTCTCTAAAATCAAGAACAATTAACACAGTCATTTGATGCGGTTTTTTTTGTACCAAAATACATTGTACTTAATCATGTAAAATTAAGTATGGTTAAAATTATCACTAAAAACATTCCAATTAAAACACTGGAATATAAATACAGCTGCTTGAATAGTATTTACCCAGTATCCATATAATTTAACTATTGAGGTGAAAGTTACCCTGACAATTACTTATTACCCCTGACATAATTATCTGGTGAATTACACCCCTTCCCCTACCAAGGTGAACCCATAAACCAAGTATGAAGTTCCAGAAACTAAAAGTGTAGGAGAGAGCCCAGACAATTTTTCTTTGATGTTGGTCAAAGGTCAAAATGAATGTCAGAGTGACTTCCTTTTAATATGACATACAGCCTCACAAAAGTGAACCCATATCCCAAGAATAAAGTTCGTATGATTAGCAGTGTAGATATAAGGCCTAAACTTGATGTAGGTTTAATCATATTGAGGCAGGGTCTCCTTGTAGTAGCTGGTCGCTGTCCCACTGAACAACATACAGGAGACACATGTTCCAATATATGAAGAAGATATAATCAATATAATCCCTCCACCACAAAGATGTATATTTAACTAACAATAATTACTACCAATTAATTATCTTAAAATAATTATCATATTTTTATAGCTATTTTGTCACAATTACTCAGAAGGCCTAAAGCTTACATTAAAATAGACAAAATCTTAACATACGCAAGTTAGGAAAATACACATCCATTCTAGGTCTGGTCTCTACACACTTGCAAAACAGTCAAGCACTTGATAAGGTAACCACAGACCGGGAATTAGAAATTACTTAGTGATAAAAAAGTACCACCCGTCCATCGAATAGTCTGACTACGGTCCTAGTATGTTTACCATAACTGTTATTGTAAAAAATTAAATAATTAGAAAAACCTCTCAAAAGACCCTTAATAATAAATTCTTATGAGTAATACCACCCCCAGACTTAAAAGCACACCATAAATACGCTAAAAAGATCACAACAACATCTGCTTAACAAACACAATCACAGTAAGTAATCACATATTTCTTTGTAAAATGTAGAGCCAGCACTTTATTCTGCATCAATTCAACATCTAGTTTAGGTGTGCTGATCAAGAAATGTAGGATTGAAGAAAGAAACTCTCTTGCCTGTAGAGAATGTTGACAATGGGGAATGAAATTCAAAATTTTGATAAAGCACTCTGAAACTCTTCCATGCAAAAGAGTATGGCCCCTTTTGGTCTTGCCCCTTTTTGCCCTGCCCATTGGGGAACGAAAATTGTCTGATTCACAATACCGTAAAAACCCATGTAATGTCCGCACTTTTTTTCACCGAAAATCAATCCAAAAAAGGGGGTGCGGACATTACAGAGATATAGAGGAAATGACACTTTTTTCCTTCCGACAATTCATATCATATCTCCTTGAATTGTGTTCTTAAAAGCCAAGCATACCTGATATTATCGTTCTATGGTTTTTTCTATGATGTTTCCTCAACCAAACATGATTATTTATGATTATTTATTATAGTTTCCATGGTTAATTCCTTCCAATTTCTCGTTACAGGTTCGTATTGTGTCGTCCTTCGTAATAGGAAGCCATTTTGTTTGACTTTGTCACATGAATAAAGTTAGAGTTATTCCCCTTCCCCATTGAAAAAGCATACCCATGAGCATATACAAAATAACACAACATTTTCATTCTACATTTTATTTACAAAATAACAATAAATAACATGTACAAGAATATTACATAAAATAAATAATCAGACGTTTTATTGATTATGGATCGTTTATCAGAAAGTCTTAATACATAGCAGGCCGGTTTAATAGCGTTTCTCGAAACCCCAGAAGTCGTCGTCGTCACTGTGGAAGAACTCCTCGGCGTTGAAGTTGTCTTTTGCAGTGAAATGTTTGAATAAAATTTCATTAAAATATGTTCAGGTATTTTTAGGAAGTTGTAAATGTTGATTGTTTATGGACAGAAAAAAAATTATATAATGATGGTCATGAATCTTTGTTTAAAGTTACCTAAAACGATTAAATAGTTAGGACCAGAAGAGGGACAGAGTGTGAAAAAACAAGAAGGCCTCAATGATCATCTGACTTTAAAGACATATATAACAGAGGTTAAATGGGCCTGAATTTTTCACATGTTCAAGAGCTAACACAAATGATTTTGTTAGTTCATAAAGTCAATCTGCAAACTTGAAACCTATTCAGACATACTAATCCACATATAAAATGTCCCAGGACCAATCATCCTGGACTAGATATTATAAACTGCCACTTCAGGTGACAAATAGTACAAAGCTTCAATGGTTTCAGTACAGAGTACTTCATCATATCTTGGTTACCAATTCTTTACTGTTTAAGTTAAGGTTAGTTATCTCCCCTCTTTGTGTTCTCTGTAATACTGAAATTGAGACAATTACTCATCTCTTATGGGAGAGTCAAGAAGTTAAAAACTTACTTCAATCATTTGAATCTTTATTAAAAGCTCTGCTTATCCCTTTCTCAATTAATAAAAAATTGTTCTTGTTTGGCTTTCTCTTTCAAAATCTCCTTCCAAGGAACCATGTTGGCAATTATCAAACAGTATATTTATAAAATGAGATGCTTTCTCAACTCTCTGAATATAAATACACTTATAAACACAATAAAGGACAATTACTCAAATCCAGAAATACATCCTAAATAATAAAGGGGACGAAGAAAAACACAAATTTGGCAAAGAATGTGGAAAATGGGAGTAATTAATTAATCTGTAAATATATATAATTTATCTCACTCTTACTACACAATACATTCAAAACATATTCACTGTATACTTATATACTCTATTCTTTTCACCCTATGATGTCCCTTATACAGCTGAAAGATATTAGTTCTAATAAGATAGTTTATTCTGTATTTAACCAATAGTTAAATTATCTTGCAACATAGATATTCTACCCCGTGTCCCCTCCCCCCATCTCCCCCCACCCTTTCTACTCTCCTCCCTGCTACTCTCCCCCCTCTCCCTCTCTATATTCTAAATTGTAAAATTATATTAAAAAAAAAAAATAGTACCAGAACCTATTGCTTTATGAAAGAATTTCAATGTTCTAAACACACTTTTTACCCCAGTGACCTTGGAAGTAGGTCAATGTCATTCATCTCAATAAATTTTTAGTCTTCATCCTTTTTATACAGAACCGATATCAACAGCTTGGACCTTTTGGCTATCAAAAATTAAGAATTTGGGTCAAGGTTATTCATCAAAGCAAGCTACATGATTCAGGCTCAATATCAACAACCTGGGCATTTTGGTTATTGAGAAGAAGTTTGAAGATTCTAACATATTTGACCCCTTCGACCTTGAAATTGGGTCAAGGACATTCACCAGGATGCTACAAGTCCAATACAGCAACTTTGGTGTTAAGGTTATTGAGAAGAAATTATTTGAAAAAAAAGTTTACAAATAGTGTACGATGACAGACAAAACCTGATGGTTATTGATTGAAACTTTTTACAAAAAAGACTTTGAAGATGGATAGAAATATCAATACATGTATATCATGGATTTGATATGTTAATTACCAGGTTTCCTTTTTATTTTGGCAAATCTCAACACAGTCAAACATTACGTCTCTATAATTTTGCCCCAAGCTTTTTCATCACCTCCTCGTAAATGGGAACTCTTCCTTGATAACCATTATCTGGAATTTTTTGTAGGAAGTCTAGATAATCATTAGGTAGTTGTAGCTCCCGTGCTCCTCGTATGATAACATCCTTGTAATGTGGAGATGGCCTCTTGTCATACATTGGGTTGCCTTTTTTATCAATTTTGTACGTACGACAGATGACTTTCTGACCACCAGGATAACAGACCTTCACATCAAACCCTTTATAGATATCTTCTTGTCTGAAAAAAAACAATAAAAAAACTAATCTTTTAGAAACAAAAAACATGCTTTTCACCAATGTCTAGTGACTAGATAGGTAGTATTGTATATTATGATACTGATTGTTACCTTCAGTTATTGTTTTCTTGGACATTTGTCTACCTACTTTTACATATAACTATGAGAAGGGAGGTAATCCAATATGGCGGACACAGAACTCGGGAATGATAACCCAAAGAATGGCATGCTCCTGCATATAATGCGCACCCCTTTTTGACACGACAGTTTTAGCTTGAAAAAGTGCGCACTATACGCTAAAATTTACGGTATTTATAGCAATGTTGGAATTTGTACCCACATGTCTAAGGTAATAAAGCTTCTTGGTGTAAGACCTAAAAGTTCAATATGGCTATCTGGTCCACTTCAAATGTAAATCATATTATAGTGATAATATCATTATTGCAGAAGACATATTCCATTGGTAGATGTTTTGAAAACTTGCTCTAAAAATGGAGTGATATGTTCTAGTTTGCAGACATCAAAATTAATAAACAATTTTGGCAGAACATACCGACTGGTAAGACCTTTGTCACTCCAATGTAATAAATGTTTAATTGTCAAGAGCTGCATCAGTTTCAGTTTCCAAAAATATTTGATGGCAGAATGCAAGCAAAATAAGCAAGATGGCTGTTTGTTTTTTTACTAATCATGTCTCTTTTCGATTTTTGATTGGTATTTTTTATGTATTTATTTGTGCTATGCAATAACAAAAAATATTGAAATGACCACCAGACTGTCACTCAGAAAACTTAACATTTCTTCATCAACAAATACCAAAAATCCCCCCCACAATCTTACTTGTCCAGATTGGGAAGGTCCTTGTTATCTAGTTCCCATACAGCACCCCACAAACTATCTCCAGGTTTCTCCACGATGTTAGCAACACCACCATGCCATCTTGAGAGGTTAGGATCCGTAATCGCCTCAAAGTCTAATTTGTAATCCTGGAATGGAAAACAAACACCAGTAAGGATTTCTTGTACAGCGTGGAAGGACTAGCAGGCTCTTGTAAACAATTCTCAGAATTTCACAATCATGGCACCTGCTATTATATGATCTTAATTGGTTTTATGTAAGTTTGATGTTTCCACTTCTTTGATCTTTATTAGTTCTTTTACTGACAATGATATATGATTATCAAGTAAACCTACAACAGAAATTCATGAATGTTTCATCCACTTCATTTTATAATGAGTTCCTTATAGATTTCATTAATCATCTTAATGAATATAACATAATTGTTTATTTCAAAGATTGTTTCATTCTGCCTTCCTCTATAAATCCTTTACATTGTTTTCAATTTCCTTTTAATCATAATACTGAACAAATGATATAAATGAATTTCATTGATACCTCTAGCTTTGCAATAGACCGAAACACAGCAGTTGGATTTCTGAGTAAAAGGCGTTCCTTCAGCAGGTTACTCCCATAGGCGAAATAGGCAAAGGTGGGTTTACTCATTGTTGTTTAATGGAAATTCCTATTTCAAAGCCATCAAAAACATCACAAAGAAAACTGAAAAGAAAATAGAAATTACACAATATGGCTGATATTCATGTATACAGTACTACAGTATTGTTTACCATTTTAGTGCAAGGCCAAATAAAATTTATACAATATGTATACCACATATGGGTTGATTTCAGTATGTACAGAAATTTTGTCAATTAGTGTCGAAACGGGAATACTATAATTTATCTGTGCCTGATTTTCTCAATTGAATAGCAGGATCAGACAGTATATAATGTTAGTCTTTCTCAATCAAAATACTTCAATACTGTTAACATACTTACTTCGACACAATATATTCAATATATAACAGAAAAAGCGTCAAAAATAAAGACAACCATTAAAATATGTACATTTACAGTATTTGTAAGCCAATCTTGTGGTGAAAATGGCTAAAAAAAAAAAAAAAAGGGAAAAAAATAAACCCTGGCAAATAATGAAAAAATTACTGACCCTTGATAAACACTATCAGTGATTTTATATAAGATAAAATTTCCTAAATATATTACCACATGTTAATTCAGAATGTCAAAACAATATCTTATTCAATAATGAATATTCCACAATACTTCAAACATTTGTTTCATATCACAGAATGTTTCGTCGAATGTATCAACAGTTTAATAAAATCTTTTTTATGCTTGAGTTCTTTTTTTATCTATGTCCTTTATAAATACCAGTCATATACTTTCTGAAGATTTTGTAATAAATAGCTTAAATAGATATATAGGAGTTGGTTACTATTGTATCCATGCGTTGAAAGCCGGACTGAATTCATGTGATTCATGATTTTTTAAGTATAAATATAGTCCTTGTAAAATACTAGCCACAATATACGACTTAGAAAACTTCTCTTCACAGCTTGATTGGCAGAGCATCAGACTAGTAAGCCAGGGGTCAAGGGTTTGAGTCCTTGGGGAGGCAGTGAAATAAATAATGACCTGTTAGATTGGTGTCAATGTTGGGACTCTGAAAAATTACTTTGTGTTACCTTCACATGCATTGCTGTAATCCCTGGAAACTCTATGACAAGTTGTTCTAGGGAGGATGAGTATGTAACTCTGGTAAAACACTTAGCTGCAATATACTGCTCGACTAAAGAGTACTCTTCTGTGATTAATTGGTTGAGCATTGGACTAGTAAGCAGACAAGTTTGAATCCTAGTGGAGGCATTAACACAAATAGAGCGACCTTGGTTACATATACCTAGCAACAAGTAATTAGAGCAAAATAAAGCAAGAAGTGAAAGAGGTAATTGCAATACCAGGCCTGTAGTATGAAGTTCTGATATTAACCATTCCTCTCTTTCCTTTCTTTGTTAATGATGTTTAAAATTACTGATAGTGACTTTTCCATAATATTCATAAAAATACTTACATCAGTAATTTGATCTAGCAATACAAACCTGACTCAGCGTTAATTCGGATTCACCGAATTGGACTAGTAAGTAGACAAGTTTAAATCCTAGTGGAGGCATTAACACAAATAGAGCGACCTTGGTTACATATACCTAGCAACAAGTAATTAGAGCAAAATAAAGCAAGAAGTGAAAGAGGTAATTGCAATACCAGGCCTGTAGTATGAAGTTCTGATATTAACCATTCCTCTCTTTCCTTTCTTTGTTAATGATGTTTAAAATTACTGATAGTGACTTTTCCATAATATTCATAAAAATACTTACATCAGTAATTTGATCTAGCAATACAAACCTGACTCAGCGTTAATTCGGATTCACCGAATTGGACTAGTAAGTAGACAAGTTTAAATCCTAGTGGAGGCATTAACACAAATAGAGCGACCTTGGTTACATATACCTAGCAACAAGTAATTAGAGCAAAATAAAGCAAGAAGTGAAAGAGGTAATTGCAATACCAGGCCTGTAGTATGAAGTTCTGATATTAACCATTCCTCTCTTTCCTTTCTTTGTTAATGATGTTTAAAATTACTGATAGTGACTTTTCCATAATATTCATAAAAATACTTACATCAGTAATTTGATCTAGCAATACAAACCTGACTCAGCGTTAATTCGGATTCACCGAATTGGACTAGTAAGTAGACAAGTTTGAATCCTAGTGGAGGCATTAACACAAATAGAGCGACCTTGGTTACATATACCTAGCAACAAGTAATTAGAGCAAAATAAAGCAAGAAGTGAAAGAGGTAATTGCAATACCAGGCCTGTAGTATGAAGTTCTGATATTAACCATTCCTCTCTTTCCTTTCTTTGTTAATGATGTTTAAAATTACTGATAGTGACTTTTCCATAATATTCATAAAAATACTTACATCAGTAATTTGATCTAGCAATACAAACCTGACTCAGCGTTAATTCGGATTCACCGAATCCGTAATCACATTTGAAATTTAGAATCACCTTAATGGTCATAGAAACGCTTTAAAACTACTCCCTCGTCCAAGCTAAATAAAGAGTAAAAAGCACCTAGATTTCATATCTTCCCTCGTGGTTGAGTTTTGTGTTGGAACAATATTTCTTTTTTAACAAGATGTATTTGATGTACTACCTTAACGAAAAGGGAGACCGTGTCTACACACTGAAGGTACTGTATTCATCGATAATATCAGAATAATAATAATAATCTTTATTTTCAGAGGATAAATACACGTTAAGCCAAAGGCTTTTCTAACACATGGTCCTCTGCTCTTGTTAGTAAAAGTACGTATCAATGGGTTAGTAAAAACAACATGAAAATTACATGATTACATACATTATTGAAAAGTATACAGTGTACAAATAAAAGACTTGGTTGCTCTTAAAAGTAAAAAGCAGCAGTATCTTGCAAAATTGTCTACAAATCAAGTAAAAGTTTGACTAGTAGTCTTTTAAAAGTAGTAAAACAATTAATCCCCTTAAGTTCGTGAGGTAAAAGATTCCAATCTTTGATACTCGATATTAAAAAATGGTTTGAGTAAAAAAACTAAAAAGTTGTTATCACAGGCATATATTGTGGTTCTATTGTGACTATTTCTAACTAATGAGATATTGCTAGATAAGTAGTCTGGGACATCTTCATGTAAACATTTAAAAATCATATATAATCTTCTAAACTTAAAGTATCTATAAATAGGCATCCACTGTAAAACTTCAAACATGTCTTTGGAAGGGGTATTTATTGGTACATCGAGAATCATTCTGGCAACTTGTTTCTGAGTTTTCAAAAGCTTGTCCATTAAATTTCCTGAACAACCTGACCACACAGTGCTGCAATACACAAAATGTGGGAAAATACATGCCTGAAAAAATTCAGTTTTCCTTCCATGGGTAAATATGGACTAATACGACGCAACAAGCCTAGCTTTTGCCTTATTTTGCCCAATATTGACAAAATGTGATCTGACCATGTCAAGGAATTATCGATGATGACCCCAAGTAATTTATCTCTTACAACCTGTTCTAAAGATTCATTACACAAGGTAAGATCTAGAGTTAAGCAGTTTCTACTTTGTTTCTGTTTAGAAGCTATACACATACATTTTGTTTTCTTGACATTTATAATCATCTTATTTTCAACTCACCATGAATAAACATTGTTTAAATCAGATTGCAGTTTGCTATTGATATCATCCAATGATCTACCAGTAACAGATAAAGTAGAATCGTCTGCATACATATCTGTATGACATCTGACAGTAAGTGGCAAGTCATTTATGAATACTAAAAACATCAGAGGACCTAAAATAGATCCTTGAGGGACACCATGGGTTATTTTACAGATGGTCGACATGTGGCCAGTAATGGAGACTAACTGTGCCCTGTTGTCGAGATATGACTTGAACCACAGAAATGAACATTGATTAATTTTATACAGGGAAAGTTTCTGAAGTAAAACAGAGTGATCGACTAGATCAAAGGGTTTTTTAAAGTCTAGGAAAATAACTCCTGTACAAAGACCGTCATCAATGTTCTCACCCCAGGAGTTAACAATATTCAGTAATGCTGTTTCACATGAATGTTTGTGGCGAAAGCCAGATTGGGACGCTAAAAGTAAATCATGGTCTGTAAGGTATTTGTATAAAGTGTTATGAACATGTTTCTCTAAAATTTGGTGGAGAACAGGTAAGACTGATATTGGCCTATAAAGTTTTCAACATCAGCAGTGCTACCATTTTTATGAAGCGGGGTAACTTTAGCTGTTTTCCACTGTGTAGGAAATTTACCTGTCTTTCGACTGATATTCATAATGTAGGTAAGAGAAGGTGCTACTTCATTATAAACAATTTTCAGCAACTTAGCACTAATACCATCAAAACCTGTAGATTTGTGAACATCAAGGTTTTTTCAAAATTTTTGAAGTAAAATCAATAGATACATTTGGTATAACAAAGAAAGTATCATCTTTTGTTCTATCAGAGACATAATCTTTCAGTTTCTGAAAAGAAGCTGTAACATTGAGGCTTCATCAGGACAAAATCAACTTCAGAGGCGAAACTAGTAGACATATAAAGGAAACACCCTCTTATTGGTAATGCGTGAGTATGTTGTGATAAATATCCGTTCTGCACATACTATTTAGTTTTTGTTTGATCGCCCTGCATACCATCTGGTATCCATACTCACCACGAAGTACCCCACTAAACAACCACGTATCCAGACCTGACATTGGCTCCTTCCTTTTGAAGTGCTTTAGAATGTTCATATCAGTAACATTACTTTATAATGGTTGGACACAACGTTAACAGTCGAGGGAAACAGCAAATTCACTGTAAACTCCCCCACACCCATTTTTTCACAAGTCGCATTATTTAGTCATGAAACATCATACAACTGCAAATTTGTGTTTTTTCCCCAACCTGCACAAACTACCCAAATGTAGGGTAATTTTGAAATAGAAACACAGGAAATTCTCTTAAACTTTTGCAAAAAAAAAAACCATATTTTTTATATGCCACAGTAATATAGCCAATGCCTTTCTTTGAAAAAATGTCCAGTTTTGTGCAATTTAAGTTCAATATTTAATAAAATTTCTCTCAGCATTGCCAAGAAATTGTAATTGGTGAGAACAATGCAATTACCAAATGCATGGTGAAAAAGTCAATGATCAAATATGTCACATGTTTTCTATATAAGATTATTGAGGTTGACAGCTCGACAGATCTATGGGGGTTATATATATAAAGCCCAAATAATGTTGTCAACTGTAGCAGACAGTGTATCTATATAACATGAAACCCCTGATCGTAGTTGCATGCATGTATCAAAAAAGGAGAGCAAAATCATTATACATTGAAATAAAAGAGCATTAATTACAAGTTTATCAGTAAGTTCAGATATGGTTGTTACTAATATATGTAATGAAATCTTTACAGAGGGAGGACCTTGAGGGAAAGCCCACTTTCTCTGCCCACCCAGCCAGATTTTCACCAGATGATAAATACTCCAGGCATCGGGTAACAATCAAGAAGAGGTTTGGGATTCTTCCAACACAACAGCCAAAGCAGACATATTGATGACAAAATGGACAAATATCAACAGGAATTTTGAAAGGACATTATATGTTGAAATGTTAACCAAACAGTATCTTCAAAAGAACCATTCCTCTGGGTCTCCATAGTCGGAATAACTACAGTCTCTCGAAATACTGGTTCCCTGTTCATCTTAAAAAGTTGGATAGCAGATCTCTCGATAGATAGCAGAATATGACCTCAGTAATGTTGCATTGTCATCTGTGGAGACCAGCTGTAATCAATGGACACATTAAAAAATGAAAATAATAAGACTTAATATTTTTTATGGACATGATGAAAGAAATATTTCTAAACGAACGTTTTTTTAAACACTGCAATTTCAATCTAGAAGAGAAGCAAATTCATGTCTTGTTGTGAATAATAGAACTGAAATTGAACATGACAAGTTTATAATGATGGTCACTGCTAGTTCAGACAGGGTTGTAGGGGATAAATGGGAATTCTTCTGCACAAAATCTTAATAATGTTATTTTTCAAAGTCCACTAGTTCAGCATATTGCACTGGGAAATAATTTGAACATGACTGAATCATGTAGTTTGTTTATACTTGATTCCAGTGAATGTTGATGGCTACATTGTATTAGTACAATACATTAGGTTGCAAATAATGTTCTCTACTGTATGCTTTACTAGTTATTAAGTTTCGAATAATAAATGATAAACATTAATTTCTATCACTGCTGTATTGCTTTTTCTTTTTAATTCTGTTAAAATCATGAATTTACACAGATAATCATAGGATTACTGTAATACATTTATAAAGTGTGATAAAACAATTTCATCACAAAGACAACATTATTCATAGTTGGTTTTATTTACAAATGTTTTTCAACTAATGTATTCATAACCAACTGACAAGTGATCAAAACTTTCTCAACAAACTGACATTTCTTGTGTTTTGTTTTGAAGAGCTATTTATACTTGCAATCATGAAGATCTACCATAAATTCTTTCAGATACAAAATTTCCTGTTTAAACTCAGTAGGCCCTTGGGAGTATATTATTCAATTACTAAAATGAGATGACACTTGGGTGTATAGGGACATTAGTCTATATTTTGACCCTTCAGATTTTGAAATTGCCCCAGATGTCAAA